ATGTGTCATGGTATTTCTCAAAATAGAAGATGACATGAAATATTTTTGGGAAGTAAACATGCAGTGTGACATTCTAATACATTTTTGATAATAAACTAGAAAAGGTAAAACATTTCATAGGGCCCTGCTAATTTTTAATAAATTTTTATATTTCAAAAAGTTTTGAAATCAATTGATTAGACTTGCTTTTGATTGTTAACATTTAATTAAACCATTAAAATGGAATCTATAAAAATTTAAACAGAAAAACCTGAGAACATCATCAACTTTTAATGAATGTTTGTTAAATTGTATAAATTTCATTATTTAAATTAATTAGACACTTTTTAATTGCTGAATCAATATCCTGAAAAAATTACATTTTGAATAAAATTCAAAATGTAAAAAAACTGAATTGGGGGGATAAAAGATTTTAATAGGGCCCTAAAATGTTTTTATTATTATTATTTTGTGAAATTTGTAATAATTTTTTTTTAATTGCATAAATTTTATTATTTCAATTATTTAGACATGCTTTTGATTGCTGTCATTTGTTTGTTTGTTTATTTGCATGCAACAATTATTTTCAGTAACTACAGATATTAAGAAAAGATAGCATGTCATAAACTCCTTTTTTCTTACTTTTTGCTTTTCATTTTACATACAGCACAGATTGTTGAAATCTGTTTTATTTATTTTTTTGTATTGTGATGTTCTAAGTTATTGTCTGTTTTGGATTTTGAGAATAACAATCTAAATAATATTAAAATAAAAAAATTCTACCATTGCACAGTATACAATAAAACACCCAGCCCTACTCTCAACTTTCAATGGTGTGGTGTATATCTGAACATGAAAACACTCAGAAATAAGCTGGCGCAGCTTGGCTGAGTGTGTGTGGCTCTAACAGACGTGCCCAGCAGGACCAGCGATGTTTCCAGCACGTGCGAGGTGGCTTTCTGGCAGATAGTCGGCAGCACCAATGATGAGACGAGCTCTGCAACATATGGCAATGGAGCTGCTCATGCCACAGTGGAGATATCACTAATGAGCGCAGCTCCTCTAGGAATAAAGACCCTGCTTCTAGGAAATGTGCCTCTGAAATGAGGCTGCTCGTATACATGACTCTGTGAGAAACAGGCTCCTTTGATTTTTACTGCCTGGAATCAACTGACCTTCTCTCACTGATGACTGAGCATATAGTGCATTAAAGCATCAGTTTTGAAATGCTCAATGCTTTTATGTTTTGCATTTTAGTCAAGCAATGGAGGTACTGTAGATATGCACCCAGGCTAATTAGGGGTGCTCCGATCAGGATTTTTGAGGCCGAACACCTATCACAGAAAGCAGTATCTGCCGATACCGATACTGATCTTTTTAAAGCCTTCTTTTTTATCATTTATAACTATTTATAGTGATACTCCAATCAGGATTTTTAGACATTTATTCAGGGCCCGAATTTCATTTTTGAAAAGGGGGGGAATTCCCCTCTTAGGTGTCTCTTGTGAGAGGAGAAGCAGCTTTCACACAGGAGTCCGCTACTGATCTGTGGCTGTTTACCACAAACACAACATTTATCCATTATTTTGATTTCAAATCCAAACATTGTCACTGAAATTGCTTTTTCAGCATTGCAATTCTTTTTTTTACACAGTACAGTAATACAATCTTTCAAAGACATGTTTAAACAATAAACATAAGCAACACATTATTCAATGCTTTTTACTTTTGCATTTGCTTTAGATTTATATATTAAGTTGCTCAAGCAAGTGGCAAAGCATTTAAACTACTTTTCTTACGTTATCACAAACTTACCATTGACAGAAATAGTCAGCTCTACTGCCTTTCCTTTTGCATTTAAATCTTTATTAAATGCAATCCTGCGGTTCATAAATAACTTTGTTTTCCTACCTCCACAAGTGCCATCTATTATTGCCTTGTTTATCTAAAAGTGCTCTTTCCCTTTAAACCTAGCCAAAGCAACGGTGTGCAGTGTGCGTGCTCTATTATTCTGTTAACATGAGCGCGGAAAAAATACGCAGCACATACACACTGCAAACGGAGTAATGTGAACCTGGCATTATGTGTGTGCGCTGCGAGTACGAGTGTGCATGAGCGCACGGTGTCCAGGAGAGCGGGCGAGCGCTGAATGGTTAAACACTGGCAACAATTAAAAATGCAATTTATAAACTTTAGTGACGATGTGACACTGCCTCGATTGTGCAAGTGACAATTCCTGTGTCAACTGTGCAGTGTGCAGCTTGCTTATAGACAGACGCGATGTGGTGATTTGAAGTGTATTTTGAGAGAGCGCGTGTGTGGTCATTCACTCTCGCTGTTTGTGAAATTACGTCTCACACATTGTTTTCAAATTACTTTATAAGTTATCTAATGAAGAAATATGAAGGTGAGTACCTCGCCTTCAGCATTATAATGATTTCACCCGCGCCGGACAGAGACTGAGATGGTGCCGCTGCATGTCATGCCGAACCTCTCATGGCAGCGTCATCAGTTTGAGATCGTTTTTTTGAGATCTGCCTTTTTAGAGACTGCCGATCAATCATCCCAACGTGATTATCGGCCGATAATGATCGCTAACCGATCAATCAGTGCACCCCTAAGACTAATATATATGAGATTTTTGCCACTGGCCAATAACTTTGCCTACTTGCCTGAATAATAGATGTGTGAATGTTTAAAAACACAGAGCATAAATGCATATTTTTAAAACAAAATACTACTGTTTCCGCCATTTTTTAAAAGCAACGAGCCACATAGTTTTATCACAGTTAATATATATTTAAGGGGTGGTTGATTGCGATTTCACTTTTTTAACCTTAGTTAGTGTGTAATGTTGCTGTTTGAGCATAAGGTATATTTAAAGCTAACATAAGCAGTAGTATTTACAAATAACAGTATATATATAAAAGTATGAGACAACAACAAACAAAAAACATACCTACCATTAAAAGCCGTGCTTGCACAGGTTCTGCACGATCCTCTTCAATAATATCCTCTGCTTCTCAATCGAGCTCAAACTGATAAGTAGGGATGCACGGTATCGGGCCCGATACTGAGCTCCTGTACTCGTACTCGTTAAAATGCCCCGATACCAAACATCGATACCACACAGCATGTGATAAGTGCCATATTCAGACAAAGAAACACCGATAGCAGAACAACAGACAGCAGAATGGAGTTATTAGAGATTAAAGATGTCTACGAAGTATATGTATGCAATGAATATAAAACATTCAGTATTAATGCCTGTATAGCTGATGTGCGTCAGCTGGTAAGCAAAGCACGCTGAGTGGATTGAGCGCACGGCGGCGCAGATGCGCGAGCTTGTCGAGTGAATATACCTTTCTCCCAGACATCAATGGAAAGTTTGTAGTTCGGTCGGATGTGTCAAAAAGTAGTAAGTAAAACAATGCACAAGTTACTTAATGATAGGGAGAGAGAGAGAGAGAGAGAGAGAGAGAGAGAGAGAGAG